AAATATCTGATCTGCTTTTTCTTGTAGATTCATATCACATTCTTCTAATGATTTTATATCTACAATATCCTGTTCCAATAATTCAGATATTTTGTTAATTACTTGTGTTGTTAACCTTCGTAAAGTTTTACGTTTCGTTTTTGCTTTATCTAAAGCTTTCTTTGTATTCTCATCCATAATATTACCTAATAATATAATTCTATACTGCTAATACTGTTAGAATTATTCTACAGTTCGCATGCATTCAAATCTTTAAAAACGAAACTTACCCCTTCTTGCACGTTCTTGGTACGCGAGTCATTCAATGCGTGATTGCATCAATCATCCCGCTTCTAAAATGTTAGCTTTAATCTCCGTTATTAATCTCAGGAGGGTTAGGGGTAAGTTGGGCTTTCACTTTTCATTCAATCGGGATAACTCTTGCATTTTATAAATGCTTTATTATTACAATAAATATATACAAATCTTTACGGAACATACTTAACCTTAATCACATTCCCTCGCTTTCCGATTCTCGAGTGCCATCGTGCGCCCCCTGTCGGCGGCTTTTCTACAATGCCATCTATCGGCTGATAACAGGAGTAAACTGCTCCAACGTGTTTTTGAATCTAATATTAACATATCTTCTGTTTTATTTTCAGTCACTATGTATTTTTGTAATAAGGCGTTTTTTGTAGGGGAAAACATTTAGAATCTAAACAGTTTTTCGAACTTTATTAATTATGGGAAGCAATTCTTGATGAATTAATATTTCATCCTCATTAACACTATCTTCTTCAACAATCACATTATTATTATCTTCATTGTCAGTATCACTCTCACTCTCTTCAAAGTCGTAATCAGAAGTTTCTATATCCACAGTATTTGAGTTCTTCTGTTCTTCATTTTTTTGGGTATAATACATCTAGTATTACTCCTAATTGAATTCTATGAGTATAGCACAATTGCTGATTTGCACCAACCTACTTTCCAACTTTTATAATAACCGTTGCTCCATCAATATCTTCTACTGTAGTTTATAACAGTTCTTCTTATAGTGTTAATCGATGGATAATGATTTTCTTAATTCAGTAGAAGTGCAAAACACTCGAAATGGCAAACCATCTAATGTTGTCATTTTACTTATAATTTCATCCAAATTATCTTTTTTTAAAAAAAATAATCTAAAATGCCTGATGGCTTGGGCTTAGAAACAGTGCTTAAATTTGAATCTTCCTCGCAATTAGATTCTTTCTGCTTTAACTAATTTGTATCATGTTTCCTTTTTAAATGTGTATGGAATCCACTTGTACTTCCTCCATTCACTTTAATAACTCTTGAACAGTTTTTACATTGTGCCACCATATTCTTTTCATCATATAAGTAATGAAACCAAACCGAAGTATTATAAACAGATTTTTTATGTTTTTAAAAGTTATTCTTATTTATTATTTTGGGTTTATTAATTATGAGTATATAATAACTGAAAAATATTTTGAACCCTAAAGTATGATATGCAAACACAATGTGAATAACAAAATCACCAGTTAAATATCGAAATTTTTCGAAATATTACGCACTTTCTTCCCAACAACCTTGTTTTCACACATACGAATATCAGAATACGAATTCTGCGCGTGTGCAGTATCGCTCTGAGCTGTAATAGGACAGGACACTTTTGGCCCGCCTCCTTGGATGATTCACATATTGTATCACTTCTCTAGACTGTACGAAGCGACTTTGTATTCACAGTCTAATTAATTTCGCCCATTAGGAAGACATAAAAAAAAACATAGTACTATTTTGCTATGTTAGCGACCCCTGAACATATAGTGGAGACAGTTTAAAAAATTTATAATAAATACCGAAAAAACGGTATTTGAATTTGCGAATACCGGTACTGCAAAATTGTACAAATGGCTCGAAATACCGGTATTCGGTATCCCGGTATACCGGTATTGTAATCTCTAGTTATACTATATGCAGTAAGCTAAAATTTGTGTTTCGATTTGATTTGCATGATTACGAGATTACGTAATTACATGATTACGTAAATACGAGTATGTTGCCAAATGGCAACTACATGCATTTACGGCATTACATGCATTTTAAAGTCAAACATGCAAATGGCACTACATGCATTTTAAAGTCTTTTTGCCGGTTGTTTGAGAAGGGACTGAATGTATTTACGGATATTATTTATAAGACTATACCAGGTTTAGAGGAAGTAGTGAATGCTATTGTCCCCAAACAGACTCCGAAATGCGTGATGTTATAATCAACGCTTTCGTCAAGAAAACAATTTTATGGACAATTTTATTATAGGGCAAACATAACGGTGCCTTTTTGTGCAGTTTAACATCTTTTGCGTGACTGCCTTTTCTTTTTTTTAACAATGCAGTCATTTTTACGTACCACAAGATTTAAAAGCTATAAAATGACATCTCACACAATACAAAGGGTCAAAATTTATCACAAACACACAGAAAAATGCGTAAACAACAGCAGAAATCTGTTGACTACCTATTAAGCCAAGTTAAACAAAAATTTAAGTCAATTGAGAAGAAAATACGAGCTCTATGTCACACAAGAAAAGAAAAAGAAAAAAACCTGAACACTTTCAGCTCTTAACGATCGCCCAGAAAGATTTGTTAAGATTTTTTACCTCGCAGTCTAGCAGTCTGCGGTTGGCCTTACTCCTGCTAATCCATTTTTTTAGCATTATTATTAAGCACCATTTTCTTCGCACTTACTCAATATACAGAATTTCCGATGCACCTTTAAGTGCTGGCATATATAATTCTGTTTTTTTTTTTAGTCTTTTCTCGGTCCATCATATTAATCTTCAGTTTTCTTACTAGGATGTCTTTACAAAACTTTTTTTTTGTCTTTTTGTGTGTTTATATTATTTATTAAGTATCATGTCTTCTCGCTTACGCCATATAAAATTTGATTCAACAGCAAAATCACAAAATATTTAAAAACACCATATATTTGGAATTTCCAATAGACAGTCTCGAGCGCTGGATATAAAAGTGTTTTATTCCGTGCAGTGTTGCCACTGCTCGCTTTCAAATAGTTGAGTTTGTTAATCAGAAGTTCGTTAGAGTTTTACAAAATATGCGAAATCTGAAATGTTCAAGTAATCGGCTTGTTGAGCTTTCTCAAAAATTCTTAGAATCAACTCTCAAATTTTCTCAGTAATCAGTTTTCTTATATTACAGAACTACTGAGCTTCTCAGTAGTAGGAGAGTCTACAATGTTAAAACGAAAAAGATGAGGCAATCGTGACCAGTTAACATTCTAAAAGTCGCAACTGCAGCCGCATGAAGCGAGGCAGGAAAAGTTGTGGTCTAGAAAAGAGTATATATCAAGATCTGGTATTTGAAACATGCAAAGCTGTATCATCAAGAGAACACCTGGAAATCCTAGCTATTTCCAATTTAGCTGAATGGAATCGCAATTTCACAAGGGGTGTGTGAAGAACAGAAGATGCCTTCTTGACAAGAGAATCAGCCCTTTCATGTCCCTCAGTGCCACAGTAGAAGGGAATCCGCTGGAAGGGCATTAGTAAAATTCTCAAGTAAAGTCCTACATCTTAGGACGCCGAGGTTCTCAACCTTTTCATTAGAAGAAAGAGCCTGTAGTGCAGAACAGAATCAGAAAGGATCACAACTTTATTAAAGGTGTTTTGTCGTATTAAAAGTTGTTCCATTGACATAATCAAAGTGAATCGTGAAATTTCCAATCGGAAGGTGAAAACAAACTAACAAAATTCTAAAAATAAAAATATATATCTCTCAATAACGCCAGGTATGGGTAGGCCTTTCGGTAATTGGGATCATTACGAAATCCCAGTTACACTGTGTTAATTGCCTGTGTTTAATTCCAGTCATTCATCCTTAACTTTCCGATTAAAATACCTTTTCCCGCGTTTAGTAAACATTTTTTAAATTTTATATGGGTAAACTCATTTAAGTACACAAATGAGAGTTGATATAAATCGTACTGCTATAAAGACTGAAATCTAATGTTCGATTCACTAAAGCCAACTCCGGCCCCTTGAGAAAAATCAGAAAGCAAATCATCAGTATACACATGTAACCAGTTATCGGAAGGGTAACGGTTATGGATGGTCTCCAAAGCTATCGCCCGTAAGGCTTCGGGAGGAAGATCCAATTTTCTAATTTGCTGAGTTAAATCCAACCTTACATCGAGATCCATGTAATGAAACGGGCAGAGAGGAATAAGCAACTCAATCAGAAAGTCATTAATAATTTGGTAACATTTACTATCACGAACACATTGTATAAAATCTCTCTGAATCTTCGAACTGCGTTTTGAATTAAAATCGTAGTCAATCCAAAAGGCATCGTTTGGAAGCCTAACTAGCTTGTTATACAAAACAAGAGCCCTTTTTTGTATCATATTAATTGTGGGATCACATTTGATCAAAAATTGTAAGGCCAACACAGGGGTAATTTCAACTCCACCAGTAATCATTCTTAGAGCTTGGTTCTGAAAGATCTCCAAAAGTCTTATCATTAACAAGAAACAGAGACAAGCACTTCAGTACAATGATTTAAGACCGGCTGGATGTAAATATTATAGGTTAAATTTAGGGTGTCTCTGCCGCAGTCCCATTTAACACCAGCCAGCCTCTTGAGAATTGGAAGCCCTTTCTAGCTTTATTAATTACATCCTCTCTTCGTGCCTTCGTGGTGTAACTGTAGCACACTCGACGCGTATTCAAGAGGTTCAGGTTCGAGTCCCGGCGAGGGCCTCATTTTTCATGTACTCCTGCTTTAAAATAACCCAATAGTTTTTAAACTTGTTTTCTTTTTCTAAAGAGGTAACAGTTGAAAACAACAAGAAAGGAAACTTTACAATTTAAAATTATTTATGTCAATAATAAAATTTTACAGCAATTAATTTATCAGAACTTTAAAATGTAGCCATTGACTTCGAAATATTTATAATTAAATTTCTGTTTTTTAATAATATATATTATTTATTCACAGCTTTGGAGCAAATCCTTTGGAGAAGATGCCTTTTTATTTTTTGAAAGTTGCTCCAATAGTCTTTTTCTTCTTTGAACTGATTCAATCCCAAGAAGGTAACAAAAATTTTATTTCTTTCTTGACGGAAATACTTTCCTTTTTTACCATTAAAAATAATTTTAAAACCCGATAATTTTTAAATTGGGTATTATTCAGTATTGTTATATATAAATCCGTAATAAAGAAATTGCATTTAATAAAGTGTAATACACACGTGTATTTTACACTGTGTCTACAAAGCACTTTACCTGTCCTTTATTTTCACACCGTTAGTCGCAGATATATACTTAAAGTAACAGAAATGTTTTAAATGACGCAAAGATTCACATTTGGTCAACTTTGTGAAAATTAACGAAATTTAGCTTTTTAGACGGTTCTCCGGTCTTTATAGTTATCTTAAGAAAAATGTTATATTCCCTATAAAAAGTAAAACGCAAAAAATTTAATTTCCGTACGACCAAAATTAATCGAGATATTTAATTCCAAAATTTGCTGTTACTGACGTCATTTCCAGTTTGCAGTGAAGATCAGTGTATAAATAAATTAGGATAATTAGAAGTTGATATTTTTTGTGATTTACTAATGTCTCTATATAATTTTGCTACATTTGATATACCGAAGGATTTTCATCACATGTAACTAATTCATAAGTTTTCAAAGTATAAAATTACATTATGAACATTCTTATGAAGTTTTATTACTTTAGAATCCTAATCTTGTAAACGTAAAAAATTCATTAAAAAAATTATTAGTCCAAAGGAGCTTTGTCCCCCTGAAGGACTATTGTTTTCGTTTTGCGATTTTGCGTTGGTTCACTATAAATGTCCGTTTTACTTTTCAAACTGTTGCCATCAAATGTTAGAGTCCTGCATTATATCTGAAGAAATTACATAATCAAATCTGCATAAATATATATCTATTTCTCGCATTGTGATAAAATAACGGTACATAGAGATATCGAATTTTGAATGACGTAATTCTCCTACGATTATGGGCATGTGGAAGCCCAAATTTGAAATTTGGAATTTATTTTATGATCGATTTCATATTTTGTAAAACTTTAACGAATTTTTAATTAACAAACTCAAGGATTTCAAAGCGAGCAATGGCAACGTTGTACAGAAAAAACATTTTTATCTCCAGCGCGCGAGTCTCTCCTGTATCGGAAATTTTAAAACTATTTTGCGATATTGCTGTTGAACTGAATTTTATGGTCTAAGTGCGAAGAACGTGATATTTAATAAATAAATGTAGCGCACAAAATGTTTAAAAAACGCTCCTTTGGACGAAATTTAAAATCTGAAACCTTTCAGATTCCCCCCCTAGAATGCGAAATCAATAACTTCGTTCTCACGTGTTACCTAATAAATGCTGGTTTTTATAATTCCATTTATAACTTAGTTTCTTCATATCTTATCATATTTAATCTTTTGCTACTGATATGTGTATTAAATTCAAGTTTAATTTACATATAAACTTGCCTTTAGAAGTAAGAAAACTAAGAAAATTTGCCTTTGCTTTAACTAAAGCATAATAATTAAGCAAAGAACACTCATTTTTCTCCGCAGATAGGGAAAAATTTGTCTATGCTTTTAGGTTGCGGGAGAAAGGAAAGAAAGAAAAAAAAATGCCTTTTACCTCAATCAGCTGACTGCATCCAACGGCACACACTTTCACATTTTCTAATATAAGATTCTGTAAATACGATAGCCTTTATATATCTATATATATATATAGAGAGAGAGATTAATATTTTTCCTAAATAATCTGCATAGTAATGCTAGTCGCGTTATCTGTAAACATCAGAAACCTTTAATTAAATGATATTTTATTTTTAGGTGCGTAGGAATTCAAACATTTAGCTTTTCAACTTGTAAATGATTCAATTTGTAAATGACCCCTGATTACAGATTTCTATATCAAATTTCTCATACAATTTTTTCCCTACGAGAATCAAACTTTTTTTGCTTTATTTTTCATGACCACTTGTAAATGTTTCTAAACATAAGTATAGGATCAAAGAACATGTAAAAAGTTAAATTACGTTTACAAAACTGATTTCTTTAAATTTAAAAATGACCGAAACTTGTTTCGTATAGGATCAAAAGAACATGTAAAAAGTTAAATTACGTTTACAAAACTGATTTCTTTAAATTTAAAAATGACCAAAACTTGCTTTGCTTTATTGAAGATACTTTGTATGTCGAAGCATATATATCTCAATAATGCCAGGTACGGGTAGGCCTTTCGGTAATTGGGATCATTACGAAATCCCAGCTACACTCTTTTGCCTGTGTTTATTTTAAAGCAAAGTTGTAATGCTTTATTTCAGAGTAATGCTGCGGTTCTTCGTTACTCTGTTTCATATTTATAACCTAAGCTACACGAATTAAGCAAATTTATTCGCTTTAGCATGTAAAACTTTCTTTACATTTATTTTGATAGAACATTGAAAAGTTTTCGGGTTTTCCAAATTATGTGAAGTTTAATTTCAGTCATTCATCCTTAACTTTACGATTAAAATACCTTTTCCCACGTTTAGTAAACATTTTTAAAATTTTATATCGGTAAACTCATTTAAGTACACAAATGAGAGTTGATATAAATCGTACTGCTATAAAGACTGAAATCTAATGTTCGATTCCCGATGAAATACAGTGAATCCCACTCCAGATATTTAAATGTCGTGCAACATGAAAATGAGTTTTTTGACACCGCAGAAAAAGTATTACTGTTTTCATTACAGAAATTTCACATAGCAGAAAAACGGAAATTGTTGCCACTTCACGTGCTGAAAATATTTGTTAAAAGTCTTCTGCTCAAAACAGTCCAATTAAAGAATAAAATGTTTTCTTTATTAAATAAATGTAAAAGATTATATGAAGGACAAAGGTTAAATATACTATAGCAACAAGAATCAGTGTAAGTCGTATAAATTCATTAAGTAAGTTGCATTAAGTTTCGTAGTTTAAAGGGAACATCTTCTTCAGCTGCGGAAGTGAGCTTAGCGAAAAGGAAAGCGTGTAATTATCCGATACTTATAGACAGCAGATAAAAATTAGAGAAAGTTCCAGCTAAGGAAATGAACAAGACCACTAACGCAATCAATTTACAAGAAATGAAACCAAGATTCATACCTTAAAACGAGGTCATGGGCCCACCACTGAAAAGTACTACTTAGCAGTGCAATGTTTTAAAAATACTGCATGTAAAAAGAGTACCTTGATAATTTATTTACACATGTTTTCGGCGTTCCAAAATTAACCTTTTTTTTCGGTCCTGCAGGCAATGATTTTCAGTGTGACTGTATGGAATACTGGGAGTGCGTGGGACAAGGCGGGGCACCTCTTGCCTACTGTGATTACTCGCACAAAGTATGCTGTTTCTTTGACTCCAACGTGCAGAACGTGGGAATCCTCCCCAAGAAAGGCAAATTGTCCTCCTGCGGGCAGAAGGGAGCGGACAGCGGGAAAGACGGCGTCTCAGAAGCCGGAGAATGGGCTTGGCATGTAAGTACTCGAAACTATATATAAATCTACTGCTGTTGGTGACACATAAAAGCACGTAATCAAATATCTGACTTTTTCTGATGACACAAAAGATTAAAATGAATCACTGCCCAAGCAAGAAACAGCTAGTGTTAAAACTTAAAGATACTTTTTTTTTAAGTTTACTAAAATCTCTTAAAAAGTGCTTGTAAACAAACTAAATATATTTGTTTTGAGGATTAGAATTAAATAATACAACATTAGCCAAGGACAGGCTAAACTGTGAAGATATTATAAATATAATGTAGCCATATGAGTCAGAAAATGTTATCTTGCATTAAAAATTAGAAATATTTATACATAAATAAAATGCCATTTGAATAATAAAAAATAGTAAGTTTGTTATGTAGCAAACTGACTTCTGGGAAGGCTAAATAACTCTTTATTTATTATAATATAATTAGTTTGATTCCCATGAAAGAAAAGACAGATAATTTTGTTGTGACACAGTGGCCTTTTAGGGGCTTTAAAAACTAGATAAATAAAAGAAGTTGGAATAAAGGATCATTCCCCTTTTTAGTTCTTAGAGAAAACATTCCCAAGTAGTTCTAATGAGCCGAAAGGTTTAATACTCCGTTGCGGCTCCATGTAAATATGGACATTGATCTGAAATAAATGCTTCTTTTTATATGAACGTCGACTAATTAGTAGGTCTAAAATTAAAGAACCTGAAATATACAGAAAAATGTATTTGTTGCAAGCTAAATGTAAGAGGTAGCTTTGAAGGAAAGTTTCCTTTGTAAGTACGACTCCATTTTATTGTTTGATTTGCTTTTGGACTGATAAAAATGTAAAATGTAGACAGACTGTTTATAAGGCCTATTATTTCCTTAGTGTCGTTTCATCTAATGCTCTGGTATCCTATACTGATAAAGGGGAGTTAAAAAAAGGCGTTGAAGAAAAAGTGTGTTGCATAATTTTAATTCCCGTGTGATTCTATTTTGGTTTCAAGAAATTGGTGTGGCTCTTCGACCAACTCTTCGACCAATGTAAGATCATGGGAATCTTAATTTCGTCAAAAGTCAAATTCGATTCGTAATTAGGTAAAATAATAAATAAAGGAAATATTATCAACAAAGGGGAAAAATGCCAGAAATGAAGGAAAAATTATTAAATGAGGATGCTTTGGGGAGTTTTGGAGGAATTAAAAAGAAACGTTGGAAAACAGGAACGCGAATAAGAGAGAAAAAGTGGATAAATGGCAGATAGAAGTAGGCGGAATACTGGAGTGAACTGAGTTAATTTTTATGAAATGAAGAAAGATTAGATGGATCGGTTATCCCAGATTGATAATAAAGATGCAGCAAAGTACCGATTAGATTTCCCATTTAATGATAAACATCAGAAATTATCTTCGAGATTGTTATTTAGTGTGTATTGAAGGAAAGGAAGTAAACGTCTTCTTTTCTTTCATCACATACTTCCAATTTCAACTTAGATTTAGAGTTCCCGCTTCCGACTGTGGCATTTGTAAGACGATCCATGTTAGGCAATCCTGTCTGTGATATTTTAAGAGTCTGTCATAGACATGTTTAGTGTGATAAAGCAGATGAATCTACTGCAACGAGAAAGAACAGTTTTCATCGAGTACCACTGTTCTACTGCGGATACCACTTCTCCAACGAAAAAAACTTTCGAAACCGCTATAATAGTGAATGATGATGAAGGCGATCTACTGCTACCAAAAAGGACAGTGTTCAGAATTACAATTTATACCATGAAGTACCATTTTTAATCTTGCTCACTGCAGTGTTTGAACGGATTATTCACCTAGCATTGTGCATTTTCCACCATATTTAAATTTTCCTAGAACCTCTGACGACGGCTCATGTAAGTATCATCTTCACCTCCTACGTAGCTTAGATAATTCTTAGAAATTTTAACCTTGTAACTGTATATCTAAATTAAATTCTTAACATATTTTTATAAATGGTGTTCGGTTCCAAGATTAAGTGTTAATTCAATTTTTGAATGCTTTATTTATGATTTTATGTTTTTTAAGGAATGTAATAAATTAGATAATGGTATGTTTCATATTTGTGCAAAAACTTCAGGAAATATGAAAAGGAATAATTATGTTGGAAATATTTGTATTATTTATTTGTTTCCCAATGTTAAAAATCAAATACGTATTTTATCATTTCGAATCATAATTGAGCAATAAAATCGAATAAAAGCTATATTTCACAAATACATCGAAAAAGCAAGCTTTAAATATTTTCTTAATAAGGATATTTTTTATATTCATCCTCTCTATTTATATAAATATTATTTACACGCTGAGAGAGTGCAAGTAAGTAATTCGCGTTCGATGAAAATTAAACAGCTAAACTATGCGTCCAATTCATTTTAGAATTTCTATGTATATTCAAATATAAACTTTTAAGTCAGAATTACTAGTGAATAAAATTTGGTGCTTGAAAGCATCCGATTAAATTTTTTTCTCTCCTACGCACTTTTTCGCTTCGAAAAGTAGAATTTATTTGCAACTCTCAGATTTTAATATGGTAAAATTTAATGGATTTTTTGGGGGGAGGAGGAAGGCAGGAGAGCCTGTGATACCTGAGAGAAAGGAAAAGGTTTCTCATACTTATCGGTTTCTTCAGCTTTTTCATGCAATTACATAATATTGGAAATGAAGCATATGCGACCAAACTGCGGTTTGAGAGCCGTATGTTTGTCCCGCTGATTGCAGCTTGAGTCGTAACAAGCGGCAAGTTATTTGAAATCAAATTATAATGAACAAATATCTCACTACAGCGAACCTTTTTGACGCTAAAATGAACATAAGTAGAGTCCGTCGAAGTTTATCGGGCCGTTACATTACGTGACGTTATGTTACGCAACTATGTCACTTACATCTGTGCGCTAAGACAGGTTTTGCCGTTGCACAAGAAAAATCTTGAATTTATTCTTCCACGCAGTCTGCAAATAACCATTTCCAAAGTATTTTGTCATTCCAAGCAGTATAATGTTCTTTATTTACCTTACAAATTGTAATCATATTTCTTAAGAAACTGTTTGATTTAAATGCAATAAACTTAGTTCCAAATAGCTTATATCTTTGTTTAAATTTTCTTTGTTAATGTATTTAACTGATGTACTTTAAAATACAAGTGATTTATGGCGTATCCAGTTGATTATTTCTATGAATGTGTTCAGAATCATTGTAATGAATAAAATATTGTTTCTGACAGCATATGTTATGTACTACCTCGGCAGGTGACAGGTGACGGAGGACGGAGACGCCTGATGTTTAGCAGAGGTAAACAGGCATATGTCCCGCGCCCTCCCCTATCTAGTGGCAGTAACTCCCATGAGCCTCATGAGGCCACCTCGGGAGTTTATTGAAGAATTTTACGTAATTGTACATGGTTATACAGAGGCGTCTTAAGAATACGTTAGTTTTGATCGATAGGCGAATGATTTGTTACATCTTGGTTTGTTAGACACAGTTAAACACTAATTACAGCATATACATACACATACAAGTACATACACTTGCACATATAAAGATACATACAAAACACTTGTAAAACACATATAAAAGCACATATATAACACATATAAAACATGTAAGCACATTATAGAATAATAGAAATTAGATACTAGTTTGCACACACTTATACAAGTAAAACACGTACTTATAATGAAACATAATTAATATCGTTCTTTGACTTGGTACTAGGGCAAGTATTCGATGAGCTAAAAAAAAAAAATTCTCGAAACTATTAATTGTTGAATGGTCTCGATATATCTGGACTTAGATAATCTACTATTAATAAGTTCTGGATAATTAAGACGTGTCATGCTATATAAATGCTACGTTACGCCTGATGCCATTTGTTATCCAGTTGAACTGTTGAGTCATGGCTGTTGAATTTTTAACTGTTGATTAAAGTCTGAAAATGTTAGTCGAATATATTTTTTTCTGAATTTTGTTTGGAATATGATCTTCAAGATTCAGGAGTTTTAATTATATAACACATCATTCAAAAAATCCATTTTTTAATGAAATAACTGCCTATTTTAAAAACTGTTTTCTAAATTTACTTTTCATTGGACGCAACCTTCATATTTTGATTTAATCAAAAAGTTTCAATGTTAAATTGCTTCTTTTTATCAGATCAGAAAGATTTGGGGAAATTTCGGATTCGTCCCGCCTGCACTACATTTGTATCATAACTAAACTGATTGACAGATGCAGAGAGATATCTTACTTTGATGTAAAATAAAACATCGATTAACAGACCTCTAGATTTATTTTTCTGACTTTTTAGTGCATTTGTATGTTTTATTTTTTCATTATTTATTGAGGCAAATATTTTAGAACCATATCTCTTAAGTTTCGTACCATGATAAAGGACTTTTAACTAGAAACTGGTTTATATATCCGTTACACCATGGAAATTAATGAAACCCCATTCGACCAGTTCTTTCTGTTGACGGAAACCGCATCCGGAATGAATATCAAGGTTCAGTATTCTTATCTACCACTAGCACTATTTCAACTGAATTGCAGAACTTGAGACTTCGTACAAGTGAAGTTGAGAAGTTTGGGGAACTAACCTGGAAAAGCTGTTATACTTTTACATGCTATCTAACATAACGCGTTAATATCCTTTTATGGGATATTTTACTATAATCTCTTTCTTTAAAATAGGCACTTCAAGGCATTTCGTACCCTCCCCATTTGGGATCGTAACACGTGTCGTTCATTACCTCCCAGCACTTTCAATCTTCATCTCACTTTAGACTATAATTCAACTCAGCTTTCATGCCTACTCTATTCGCGTAGCGAAACGCTCTAAACAAAAATAAAATGGGGAGAAAAATGTTAGAGGACTCGACCATCTGCCTCAACTGTCGTTACCATGACTACGACACACCCCAAGAAGGAAAATTCTTTTTTTTTTTTCCCCAATAGCGGACAGTTGCCTATAACGGCATTCGCCACTCCTAAAGCCAAAAGTGGTGACAATTTTACTGTCGAGGTATCTAATAGGTGGCCACCATTACCCCCTATGAAGGGACAGACAATTTTATACCCATGCCTTCTCCGGGTTTCGAAACCGGGCTCTTTAGTATCGCAGTCAGGGTCCCCTGATCACTATACCGTCTGCGCGGCATTAGCCTGAAGTACTTGTTTTAAAGCAATAGACTATACATAATGTTCCTTTTGTAATAAATACTTCATTTTTTAAAACTTCACTAAAAAGACCTTTTTAAGGAGAATAACTGACATTTTATTTGACCATAATCCAAATTGGTAGCATGATTTATTAATAAAGAGAAATAGTTAAAGTAAGTCTATATTTTGTTATAAAATACTGCTGTGATTTTGATATTTTTTGGCTAAATGTAATTAAACAGTAATTAATAGTCTTAAGTTGCTATAACTAGCATAACATTCTAAAGAACTGTAGCCGATTCATTGCACTAAATTATTTTGTAAGAGATTTTTCGTGCGTCTCAAATTTACTATTAAACTTTCTATTCAAGACATTTTAAATAATATTCAAACGAAACAGAGAATTTTAAATAAGCATATATTTTAGTATCTCACACATAAACTATCAGTTTTCATGCTCTGACTTGATTGCTAACAAATGTATTGCCTACAGGTTGCTATCTTGGAGAAGCCTTTGGATTTGTATGTCTGTGGTGGATCGCTTTTGGACGAATACTGGGTACTGACCGCAGCTCATTGTGTGGATGATTAGTAAGTGAAATATTTAATTTCACGCTTTTTCGGAAATACTACACAGCAAGTTTTCTCTTTATACACTGGTATTGATGATTTCTAAAAGTTAACATTCTGTCTGCATCCTAATACATCGAATCAAAGAGGAAATAGTAGTGGTACATCATAGCTTTATTAATTTTTTTATTTTGCTCAGATTGTTTCTTATTTGTCATCTTGTACATGGTAAGCAAATTTCTTATACTTTGCAACTTATATCGCTTTAATGCTAGTTTTAATGCTAGTTAATTAGATAATCAGTCAGTCTGTTAACCACTGAAATATTCTTCAACAGTAGTCAACTTGGATATATATGAAAGAATAATTACTTACAGTAACTTGAGTACTGTTGAAATATAAAATAGAAATTTTATGTGAGATGCCAGTCAATTTTCATGCGTTGTTAATGCTTGTGTGAAGCGAAGAAATAAGCTGCTTGGAAAGAACCATAGGCTTTCTAAGCTTTTCTAATTGTTGGGATTATGTCGGGAACACTAAGTAAACCTATCTAGCCTTTATACACTTATTACAAAGAAACGTATAAGTTGATCATAATTACAATTAATCAAATCAGAATTTAACATAACTAAGTTTGACATTCATCTACGATACATATGGGGTGACGTTTAATAGTTTAAAATTATTCTCTGCATACACTATTAAACGACAGAACGGTAGAAGTGCCTTCTCGCTCATGATATACATTAAAGTAAAGGAACCATTTTGTTGTTTCTGAACAGAGATTTGTCAGACAGTTCTGTTATGCTGTCTGCATGCTACAACTTCCAGACTATTGGCATTGGGTTGTATCCAGCGCTTATGAAATGCATCGAAGTGCAGAAAAAAAAATACATACCAGGTTTAAATACAAAGTTGCAACTATTAAAATTCCAATTCACATATTTTCAGTCTTTTCAGCGTTCTTGAATTCTTGCATACTATCATATTTGTTGTGTACCTTGTGCATTCATCACAGTTAAAAAAGCAGTTGCCGACGAAATTAATTTGTAGCATTGTTTATTAAGTAGTTATTAGTATCTGAACTTTTACTTTAGCTTCTTTCCGTAATTCTAACCAGAAATCAAACTGGTTGCTGCGTATTTAAGCCGAAGATTTGAATGTTTTAGAGTTACAGCGTCTGGTAGTCTCTCATTGAAGTTATGTACTATCTCTAGCTCTGAAGTTCTATCTCTAGCTCGCATTGCAGTTATGTTACACCCCCTGTTTCTCGAGTTTCAGCCAGCTAGCCGGCTTTAAAAGCACGGCGTTAATTACTTGATTTAGCAACATGTTTTTAAAATTGAACCTGTACGTATGGATGGTACAAACTGTACAAATGGATGGTACAAGCTGTGATCCATTTGTAAAGCTTAAAAAGACTATTTTGTGTGTAATTTCAGACTACGTGACTTGAATTTAAACTTTCATTTTTGTACTATTTTAAATATTCTCAAGTAGCGGAGTTATATTTTATAGCACAAGCGGTATGTTTCGTTCATTTAAAAAGTTCTATATAAAGCTCATTTTTACCTTTCTAAGAATTTGTCATCTAAATTCAGACTAAAACCATCACTCGCTTCTCAGTGTAATAGGATTTGTAAGACACTGAGTTAAGCTTCTGTACAAGCAGTTCTTTATAAATTAAATAACGAAATAGTCTGTTTAATTTCGAATATCATTTTAATCACGCTTTAAACTCATTTTCTTTTTACAGTTCTACAGCTCGAATTCTCAAGGTTCGTCTCGGGGAACACGATGTATCGTCTCTGGCCGAACGACACCCCCACGAAGAATTCGATGCAACGAGAATCGTTCTGCATCCCCGCTTCAACAACGAGACGCTAGAGAACGATATCGCTCTTCTTCAACTATCCAGTCCCGTAAGACGAAAGCCTCACATAAACATCATCTGCATTCCAGACACGGAGACAGAGGAAAGAGAGCTTCTGGCGTCATCTTCGTGTTATATCACAGGTTGGGGCAGGAGAACAGAATGTGAGTGCATAAACATTAGCCCTACCTCTGCAGCTTCACTTAAACTCCTTGATAATGTTACTTAATACAGGTTATTCGTAGCGGGAAGCGTGAGAAATGAAGCGGACTATTCCGGGTTTCAGTCACCAATCTTCCACTTGCTAACTGGATGTATTAATTACATGAGGGAATGTGATAATCCCTTACATTTTGCATTTCTTACAGGACTGTTTGGGATAGGCACGAAACTTTGTGAATCAAATCCAAATGATGTTAAGTTACCGTCTAGTACAAATTTTAGTTCGGTCGCTACTGTAGAGACTATTATGCGTTTCAGAGCGTATAAAGTGTAAATTTTACAGTCTATCACCGGAGTTGAATGACACATCTTTCATTTGGCCGTTAGACGTGCAAACCATTTAAATCACGACAACATACAGGGAAGATTGCGTTTATTCCTTGCATTTTTACCTAATGGCATGCTATTGGATGCAGTTATGTAGAGAAGCGTGCTGTTACTTAGTAACTAGCACAGATGCAGTTTAATTCGTAATCAGCAAAAATTTATTTACCACCGCTTACGGACTACAAAAACAGAACAGAGTAAACCTGTTCCTTGCATGTCACAATTTTATTAACCCACTCACTTTCACCTCTCATACTTAAAAAATAAAAAGGCAAAACATGCTGTTTAAGACCAGGTAGGATTTTAAGTAGATTTATACTTAAATGTATTTAAGAAAGCAATAGGAACATCAACGTAATTATAATTGATGATAACTAGTTTGACATGTACAAAGTTTTGAAACATAATTAAAAGCAAGATTTTTAAATTTTAACTGCGCATTTACAAAAACGAATGAAAGAGTACATTATGAAATTCAATTATGGGGAAAATACTGGATGTAGTGGTATGGAAGTGGATGATTCTGATAGAGGATTTGATAGTATAAATCAGCTTGAAAGTCATAAGTTGATAAAATGTCTTATACATATTTAACAACATTGCTTTGTCTTTCAGCAAAATGTGTATTATACAGAAATATAAATGTAAAGATAATTTTAAAAACATTTCTTTATGAGCGCTTTTAATTTCTTAAAACAGAATAATAGAAATATACAGAAATTACTCAGTTTTGTTTGGTTCAAATAAAAGTATTGATTACTTTCATAAAATAAATCACAAGATTTAAGCACTCACAAAAGCAAGAGTCCATTTCTTGCAAAGATTCAGAAAACTCCTGGAAGCTACATTAACTCAAGATTTACACAAAGCTGGTCCATAATCTCAACAGGGTAAGGATAATAGCTAAACGTAGGTTTATCAAGAAAGAAATTCAAAACGAATAATTAAATAATTTCAGCATCATTTAAATAATGTTCAATTTGATCAAATATTTCGATTGATCGAGTGAAAGAGTTAAAACTTGCTAAGAAAATTTAATATTAATACTTAATATGTTTCGTCGGCGAGAAACATACAGTTCCACGTATCGAAAATTTCATATCATGAAATTTCAAATAAATAAAATATTATTATAACTTCAGAAACAACACTTCATTTATTTCAAGTGACAACTTCCCACCAGCTGAAATTCGCGGAGCCTTGGGTTTGGTTTATTTAATCATGGCAAAGCACACTAGGGTTATCTGCGTAAGGGAAGGGATGCCTTCGTGGAGGACTTTCTAGGGGAAACTGACTCGTATACACGTTACACATGGGGAAAACCACGAAAACGCCCATGCAGCCAGCCCGTTTGCGGGACTCGAACCTCGGACCGAACTAACAGTGTTCAGCGACTTTACCGCTCGGCCGCTGGTGGGCCCGCGGAGCCTTGGGAATAAGATTTGAAGCAAGTAATCCCTCACTAATTTATTTTTTTAACTTTTAATCTAATATCGAAATAGAATTAAGAGGGAGAGTTAAATTCTTATTTAGACAAATAATAGCTCCAGTATTAATTTTTATTCATTTATTATAAGATTATATGTTTACTATAAAGCATTTTTAATTTAATCACTCGGGCTCTCAGTCGGGTGAATGTTTACGTCTCCAGTTTTCGCCACGTTTAATGATGATAGTTACAATAAAAATAATACCAATAATTTATGATCACGTTTGTCAGCGACTATTTTGACTACATTAAACGATAAAAAAAATCCTTCAAAAAAATAGATATAATACAAATACGGCAACAAACATATAAGTAAGTACTTTCACAGAATTCACAGAATCTGCATAAGGAAACTAAATAAATTTGTTTATGAACTCTCTGAAATGTCTATAACTCAAAAGTCCATTCAGAAGCTTTCTATGTGACCGATGCTATATCCGTAATCTTAATAGTCAGCACCCATTGCTCTCTCTTTCCCTGGAAGTTCGGTTTGGTTAATTACGGCACAGCCTCAAGGGCTATCTGCGTAAGGGAAGAGATACCTTCATGGAGAACTTTCTAAGGTAAACTAACTCGTATACATGTTACACATGGGGAGAACCACGAAAGGGACCATGCGGCCACCCCATTTCCGGAATTCGAAACTCGGACCAAACTACCAGCGTTCAGCGACTTTGCCGCTTGGCCACAATTCCCTGGAAGAGAACGCGCAAATGTAAAATTTTAATTTAGGCAAAAAAGCAGCAACCTTAGTTTGACGTAGAATGTTTTCGTTCCCCCCTCCACATATGAAGGGAAGGGGGGCTTCTAAGAAATTTTGATGCTTTGAAGAAGGAGTTATCACCATCAAATTGGTAGAGTTCTTCGGAATCGACGCCAAACTAAGGGTCCCCCCCCCACCTAATTTTAAATGGTTGATTAGAATGGAAAACAAACTATTTGGTGACTTAATCCCTGAAATTTTTATGAGAGCTGGCAATTTTTATAATCTATTTTGACCTTAGTTGGCGACATTAGCTGAAAGAATAATTCTAAAATGCTTTGATAATATTAACCGAACTGTTGATCATGAGATACTTCTTTTTGTGTACAAACGTACGGAAATTCGACAATTCGATAATAATCTCCGAATAATAACATTAACTGCAATCACATTGGTTTGTTTTGGTTTATTTGAGTATGGCAAATCACACGAAGGCTATCTACCTAAAGTAAGCTGCGTCAGCTGTTAACGAGTTAAAAGCCAAAATAAAGGCGCAGTTACATTTGACTTTGAAAAATACTGTTCATAATATAAATTTTTCCTTTACAACTTGTGCGAAGGTCTTGCTAATAATAATTTATTTATGCACATTTGTTTTATTATTTTATTTGATTATTAGTGTTGCATTAATTTATTTACCTACTTATCCTTTATTTCATGTATTTTATTAATTTTTGTTTTATTTATTATTTTTCTTAACTTCAGCTGCTCGTTGTTGATTGTCAATTTTTTTTAATTTCATTTCTAAATTGTTATATCTTTGATTATTATACTAGAACATTTTCAAAATTTTGGAAAATTTAATTTTAAATTGGATTAAAGCAAAACATACTAGGGCTATCTGTTTAAAAGGAAATGTGTCTTCGTGGAGGATTTTCTAGTTAAAATTGGTTTGCATTTAGGTAACATACAGTTAAAACCTAAATAAGATCGAATATACTTCATGCAAATTTACGTTAAAAAATCGACATAATTCGCAAGAATAAAATACGACGCATTATACATGTGAGACTGGCGACTAAGTGCGTATCACTCACGATAGATTAAGAATCAAAACGTTATCAGGAAAGTAACTGCACATGCGTTGTCAGTAAAACAAAAGTTTTATTCTAGACAACGTAACGCAAAGACGATTTTCGACCTAATGTTGTGAGAATTACTCGGAGAATACAAAAAAGCATTGGATCGTTAAATTCGGAACCATGATTTTCAGTCTTCCTTCCTGTTGTATCTTCTCCTTCCTCATCCACGCCCTATTAATCGGGTTTTTAACTGCTCTAGAACATGAATGAAAGTGTACACATGCGTGGCTTTTAACTTGTTTTCATTGATTTCGATTTGTTTTCTTCTGTTTTCCATTCTAGCTTCCAACCATTCCTTCGTGCTGAAAGAAGTGAACGTCCCCATATGGCGAGTAGGGGACTGTGAGTCGGCTCTGCAGCTCCAGTTTGGCTCCGACTTCACCTTACCCGGCACTTCCTTGTGCGCAGGCGCAGAAGGCAGAGATGCCTGTGATGTGAGTATTGAAAATCTTGAAAATCTGCTCGAACTTGAACAAAACGGACATATGTCGAAAGTTATAAAATTATCTGCAGATAACAAAGAAAAAATAATTAAATGTAGAAAAGGGGTAGAAAACTTAATTGCTATCTTTAGATAACAATCTAGCATGTCAAATGTTTATAAAAAAGTGTAAAGTCATTTTTAGAATTTTTCGAAGCAAAGAAGCTGAAGAAATCCATAATGCCCTTGCCGGACCTCCCGAATAAGCATCGAAATTGCTTCCACTTACGTCACGAATTATAGTCCACAACCTTTTGTTTGGGTGCCACTTGCAGAGTCTTAGAATTTTTCGAAGGAAAGAATCTGAAGAAATCCGCAATGCACTTGCCGAGATTCGAACTCCGGATCTCCCGAATACGTTTCGAGCATGCTTCCACGTACACCACGAAGGCATGCGGAAAGGAAGGAAAAAATACCTTCATAATTTTTTTTTTAAAAAAAAGAACACACCAATATTTGCCTTCTCTTTTTTTTTAATAGAAATAATATCTAGCCCCAAAATGAAATTAAGTCATTATATTTCTATGAAATTAAAAACAAAGTAAAAAATAATTTCGATTTGAAAAGGTCTTCAGCATAAAATAGTACATTTAGAAAAAATAAAAAATATTAAAAAGTATACTATCCTTTTTAATAAAATAATAATTTTTAATAAATTTTAATAAAATTAAAAATCGGAATAATTAAAAACACCAGTTAGTATATTGCTACAAAATTTAATCGTGATCATTGGATATTGTTCTGGATGTAGACTACAGCCTGAGCAAAAAGTAGGGTCAGAATCTTTTTAAATTGACCAATTACAAAGTATCAGAACATTTATTTTATTTATGTGAAATAATATTTGTTTTTTATGTAATATCACGATACTGAATAATGTTCTTTGTAAAATACTTTTAAGAAATTCTGTAAAATTCCTTTAAATTAAAAACTTTATTGAACAACTAGTTTTATAACTCTGCTCTATTATAGTTTTAATCATAAAATAAGTATATGACATGTAATTTTATAATATCGTTGTGCCGGAATTCGAATCTCGGAGGAGGCTTGGATGTTTCTAAGTGTATAGTGTCTGTGAGGTGCGGGAGCATTTTAAATACTGTGACTTGAAAGTCTTGTAGACAAGTACGGTAATAAGGGGAAAAGTGTGGGAGACACTCGGCAGGGCCGATCCTAGCGGGAGGTAAGATACGTACACAGCATGTAGGCGGCAAACGTTAACGGCGGCGAAATGACTATCAAACATATTATATTTCTGTAAAACAGGGCAGCCAGTTTTAATTTTAAAATGGTCAATTTTAATTTTCACACAGTCAAGGATTGGTACTGAATCCTTGACTGTGTGAAATATCCTCATCCCTCGTATCCGTTCCCAGTCTTGCGTTCTGTACCAAAATTGGGGGGAAGCTATAAGGTATTTTTCCCGCCTTTTTAGCATGCCTTCGTAGTGCGGTGGTCTGCACGCTCGGCGCGTATTCCAGAGGTCCGTGGTTCGATTCCCGACGAAGGTGTTCCTCATTTTTCAAGTCTCCTCCTTCCAAAAAATACCTAATGTCTCTACAGTGGCTCCAGAACTAAAAGGGTGTTGGATGATGATTCTCCTCACCCAGGATTTGACGATTGGGTTCCCTAAAAACCCCAGTCCCCTTTAAAAGTGGGAGTATATAAGGTATTTCTGCCGCCTTCCTAGCATGCCTTCGTGATGTAGTGGTTCTGCACGCTGGGCCGGTATTCCACAGGTCCGTGTTTCGATACCCGGCGAAAGGCGATTGCTCATTTTTCATCTTGCCTGCTTCCAAAAAATAACTTATGTCTTTACAAAGCTTCCTTTTGCTTACGAGTGTAATTCAGTCACGCGCCTGTGCTGCATCGCCTTGTTGATGAGTCAGTTGCATTGGCCACTTTCATCAAATGCATTAAGTTGCAAGCATCAGGCAGTTTGGAACAAAAAATGTTACGATAATCCCGTTGCTAAATAAAAGTTCTTATTATCATCGGCTGTTAACAGCATCAGTTTATTGCAGACATGATTTCATCGAAAAACTGAAAAACAACAAATAGTTTGCGGAGAATTTTCTTGAAGTTGCTTGAAAGAAATTTGTTTTTAAAAGTGATTTTTATCTATAAATAAATTAAACAATATTTACTACATTTGTTTTTTTATTTAAAATAGTATCAGTAGTGTTAAAATTTTTAAAAATTGCCTTAACGATTTCATGAAAAGAACGACCTTTGAATAAAATTAGAAAGAAGTACACAGCGAGGATTGCAATTTACACATTACTTAATTTCTCAGTAGGCTCCATCGTTATCATTATATTTTACTTTGAATGTGATGAACATACACAACAAGTTAAGATGAAAACTGTGCACTCGATCTTATTTTGATTTTGCACTTTAGAAATTTATGAATTAGTAGCATAAAGTAACAATTGTTCAAGAGCATTATACGTAACATAGATAAAATAACATTTTAAACAGTTTACTTCATTACAGTAACGAGTTACTTTTATAATATAGAAAATTAATGAACAGTCCAAGATCTTTAGCGTTTTGGTCTTGTCAACTGAGTATTCCAAAAATTTTATTTTTGTGTTTTCCTTTGAAAAATGCTGATGTGACTGAAAAAGAAAACAAAATTTTCTTTTTAGTACCTCGAGGGAATTTAATTGTTCTCGCTGCCCTAATTTTGCACCCTCGCAAAACAGAAGTTGTCTTAACTTGTGATATATTATTTATTCAAATTCTCGAACACAAGTCACTCACTGGAAAACAAAATACATAATTACGTTTTCGGCAATAATTTTCTTCATTAAATAAATAACTAAATGCAGAAAGCTGCACGGGATGTTGATTCACAATGCCAATTCTTCCCATAAACCATCATCAGTTTCAAGCGTATTGTATTTAGAAGTAGTGTTTTGAATAGTTTTTGTTAAATTTATGATTTTATGAATTTCCACGGACTCATTTCAACTAGTTCGGCCTATCGTAGCTGTTGAGCTAATACTGTTTGAGTTTTTCAATTGAATATGAAGATCAAATGACTCTTTTTTTGTTAATTTTTATATTTTTAAGTGAAAAATATTTAATTTTTTAAATGTTTAAAGTAAATACTTCTTTAGCTAGTTAAATTTCAATCTGAAATTTTTAGTTTGCATTTTTTCTGCAGACAAGGTACTCAAACAGAGTTTTGAATAAAGAGAGAGATAAATGTAGGTAGAAAATATTTACCGTTACACTTATAAACTTCTTCATCCGAAAAATTGCCCCCGTAAATTGTGAACTTGAATGGAAGAAAGTGGAACTTGTTAGACAAGCTTACTGAAATCAGTAAAGTGAAAACTAGATTTTTTTCCCTGGGTGTCAGTTTATTGGGGCAAGAAACTGTTTCATATAAAGGGGCTTACATCATGAAGGAAAGTGTGATAAATTGGATCAATCATTTGCGTGAGGCATCCAAATTCAGCCCAGTTTGACACAAATGTTCCATTTAGTTGCAGTTTCATTTATCAAATTGTAATATATTTATTCATGTATAGTGAATCTTCTGATTATTATTACCTCCCTGAGACAACCATCTCTAAAAGTGACCAGTGCTTCTGAGGTCTTATGTAAATATGGGGAATGAATATTACTACTCGAACGGTAGACCTCCACAGAGAAACCCAAATCATTTGGAACAGTGAATGTTTGTTTTAGAGAACATTCAGGGAAATCAAAATCATTCCTCATTTGTTTTTGCGCGTAACCCTGTATTAAGAATATGTTTGGACGGCACTGCGAATATAAGAGTTTTTCTTATACGACATATTTTTATGTAATCTCCTTTAATCACTGCTTCGGGAATATTTCTTAGCTGCATGGCTGAAATCAATTTATTCTGAGAGAAATTTCCTGATTTTTCGTCTGAGCTCTTGTAACGGAAATTATTGATTTCTCTATGTATATGGCATACTAGTACATATTTGTAATGTTTTTAGTAATACTTTTATACCTATCCTTGAAGGAATAAAAGATAGCATTTTTCGATGAATGCTGTGTATAATATGTAATAATTCCAATTAATTTAGGTACTATTCCAGAAATTCGCTCTGCAACAGTTCTAAATTATCGCTGCAACAGTTCTAAATTAAGTTAATTTTGTTTCATGTTTATTGCTTTGGTATAATATTTATTTAAAGTATATAAAATTAATAGTTTTTGTTTAATGACTTTTGTAGATGATTATATTTGCATATGAATCTTGTTTATTTTTAGCATATGCTTTCCTACTAAAATTATTAAAAATTACTTTTCTTTAAAACAAATCTCATATTTATTAACACGAGAACAATGTTATTTTCCCCGTTTCGCTCAGATAATATTCTCTTTAGAAAACGAAGCGCTATTCATTTCTTGCAGGATAAAATATTTAATTTAACTTCAGAATTTTTAACATTTAGCAAGAGAGTCATCTAATAGCAATACATATTTTAATAATTTTTAATGCTTTAAAAACTAGAAAGAGATAAAAAAAAAGGACAGAAATACTAATACTAAAATTCGAGCTTCTAAGAAATACTCTTTGTTTTTTGATTTTTAACTTTGTTTTTTTTTCGAAGTGATTCTGATAATGTCAAAAAAAAAAAAAAACAATGTATGCATTTCTGTTATTTTTTAGGTTTGCTAAAATTATAGTGGCATATTTTGCTTTATAATTATCAGTGTTATCGTATTAAAAAGTAAATGTTACTATAGAAAGCATTTCGTCATTTGATGAAACGACAACAGCAGATCCAAAACCAATGGATCTTATTACCTTCTCATTTCTTCTTCCTCTTCTCTCATCTCATTAACTTCTACTTATGAGATATATTAAAAGAAATGCTAATTAATAAGCTTATGATAATAAATTGCACACAGTGCAATAACTGAAATTATTGGTGCAACTCACATTATCACTCACATTGCAACTCACACTCCAGTCAAATTATAAAAATAGTGGAAACTATAGAATAAAACGTTAGCACAGAAGAGATTACCATTAATTATTTTTGTGATGCAAAATATCTCTCAACATATGTTATCACAATTGCACCTATATTCGGTACCTACTGTATGCGTTCATTTGCTTACCGTCTGCATCATGTCTTGCAGTTTGCAATAACTTTGTCCACTTGCAAATAAATGCACATGATCAAAATCGTAAAAACAACCTTGTATTTAGCATAAGTATATTGAAACACTGAATCGATTTCGAGGGCAGCTAAAGGTCTCTCCTCATCAGGAGAAAGAAATACATAGAAAGAAGAAAAATAAAGAGGAAGGAGTCTCAGAAACAGTGCTGATAAGGACCACGTGTTTCTGACACTCCTTCCTTTTTATTTTTCTTCTTTCTATGTATTTCTTTCTTGAGGAGGGATTTTTAGCTGCCCTCGAAATCTATTGAGTGTTTCAATATACTTACGCTAAATACAAGGTTGTTTTTTACGATTTTGATTGTCACATTAGCGCGTTTCTCTTCTAGTCTAAATGCACATGAGCCTGACATGTGATGATGATCGAGTTGCATAAAATATTTGTGGTTGCATCAGTATTTATAAGCTGTACGATATATTATGACGAGTGTAAATTTACCTTCTAGGGTGACGGAGGTGGTCCTCTTGTGTGCTTAAAGAAATCTCGATGGTACCAAGTGGGCGTCATTTCTTTTGGCATTGGATGTGGACGGCGGAACATTCCAGGTGTATACACGCGAGTTCAAGCCTTCTCCTCCTGGATCTACGCCACAGTCACAAGGTACGGGCGGCCCACCACTTGAACATTGCCTACGTCTTATTATTAAAGGAGGCTTCTCCTATGTGCTGAAGTTTTACAGACTGCTTGTACCAAACTATTAGAAGAGATGAAGTTTCTTCCAAAGGAATATAAACTCACTTGTGCTATTTTGCCACAGGGTTGCGGGATTGTCGTATACCACAAAATTGCTTTTTTCCAGCTTTAATTGGCAACAAAAAATGCATTTGGCATTTTAGAGATTTTTTTTTGTGTGTATATTGAAATTATTTTCATAAAACATACGCATAATCATTTAAAGCTTTCCTCAGAATTTGATGGTTTAGTACCTTGCATATGGAACTGTTTTTACCTACATATTGATGTTTCTTGCGACTTTGTAATTCTTCAGTTTGCAGCAATAATGATAGCCGATTAGAATACAAAGTCCGGTTTATCTCTCTACGAGGTTGCTGATGCAGTTTTAGTTATGCAAATCAACAAATATTCGCAGAGTACACAGTAAATAGGTTACAGATGCCAACAGAGAAAATCCTTGAAGTATTTATGAAATAAACAGTTTTATTTTTGTGAATAACCCCTACCTATAATGGAAGTGTTATGCTAGCGATGTAGGAGGGTCTTAACACTTGCGGTATCCAAATCTTTTTGTTACTGTTGCTGTCACATACAAATGCTTTATTCGGTGTCTACGGCATCCAAGAAATGTATGTCTCCAAGATGAGTTTCGACAAGACCAGACAAAAGAAAAACCTCTTGAGGCTCTTGAAAACTGTTTTTTTTTTTTTTTTTTTTTTTTTGAAAAGTTGTTACCGAAATTTCGCAATATATCCCAGCTGACGGCATATGCTGTGACTCGACATGCCTTAACGTTTTTTCTGAATTTATCCAATTCTGCACGAATCTGCAAATTTACTGCAGTATGATGTGTGACAGAGCAATTACTAAGTGCATTCACTCTTCTTTTCTAGAAATAGACTGTCAACACCAAAAAGAAAAAAAAAAATCACATTCCATGCTCCTCTGAGGTACCTTCCTCTCATATGGTAATTATTTTTACACTGTCCTGATACATTTTCAATGATGGTGGCGACGCTTAAAAGTCGTTAAGAAGTATGATAGTATTTGTATTTGGTAACACTTTTGAAACTACTCTGTAACCTATTTATTGACTTTCTCTCGTAGAGTGAAAAATACACATGTTTTTTCTTGCATATTTCTGTGATAAGTTGGATTTAAGTTAAATAATCTGGCAACCCTGTTCTGCCACAGCGTTATGTGTTATGCATAGTGCCATGAATGGAGCCTACATTGTCCAAGAGGATCCAAGAAGTTTTTCTCAACATAATGTACGTTTAAGACACTTTTATCTGCCACTTTTTAAAGGTACCTGTTATACTAGAAGAAACAGGAATAATTTTATTATTGTAAATTTTTGTGTTTTTATATACATTAAAATTTTTCATTCTGTAGAGTTTATGGTTCAATTTTTAAAAACAAATGATTATTCGGAGGCTTATGAAATGAATGTTATTTATTAAAATGCTGCATTTAGCATAAAGAGTAACTGAAACTACGTCAAAACAAAAGATTGGCTATTGAACGATTTATCGATTATTTATATAGTTTGACCGATAAATGAATTTACAGATATTTTGAAAGAGATCTCTAAAAACTTCATAATCACAAAAATTTTGTAGGATGAATCCTCAGTACGTGATCAATAAAACTATTTTCGTTAACATCAGAATCAGAGTTATTTTGACTTAGCCTAAGAAAGGGATGTCTTTGTGAAGATTTATAAACGAAACTGGTTAGTTTTTACATTACTTGTTGGTTAGTTTACTTATTACTTATGTATATAAGATATTTCTCCCGCTTTCCTAGCGTGCCTTCGTGGTGTACTGGTTCTGCACGCTGTGCCGGTATCCAGAGTTCCGTGGTTTGATTCCCGGCGAAGGCGATTGCTCATTTTTCATCTTTACTACTTCCAAAAAATATATTTAATGTCTCAACAGTGGCGCCCGAACTAAAAGGGTGCTGGATGAGGATTCTCCATACCCAGGATTTGGCGATTGGGCCCCCTAAAAACCCCAGTCGCCCTTTAAAAAGATAATTGTATAAGGTATTTCTCCCGCTTTCCTGGCGTGCCTTCGTGGTGTGGTTTTACACGCTGGGCCGGTATTCCAGAGAGCCGTGGTTCGATTTCCGACGAAGGCGTTTGCTAATTTTTTATCTTTCCCGCTCCCCCCCCCAAAAAAAAATAATGTCTCTACATGTATAAACTGGTTAGTTTTTATATCATTTATATACAATGCTCTCAATCGTTCATCGGGGTTAAACCCTGTCGAATTGCCAGTGTTCAATGATTTCACCACTCCATAAAACACAGTTAAAGAATTAAAACTCATATACGTGAAACCTATATTTGCGCCCACCAGTGACCGATTTGGTAGAAGTGGGTTACATGGGAATTTCCATGGCTTTCTCGTATGTAAAGCGAGTGTATTTTCGTTAAAATATCCTTACGAAAGCATCCTTTCCTTCGGACAGATAGTCCTTGTGTGTATTGCCGTAATCCAAATAATTTAACAGCAACTCATTATAAAATCAAACGAGAATTTGTTATTCACAACTAAGTATGAATGCTAGGTTGTCAGTGAGGTACTATTTTTTGTGAACTTAAGATGCAGTTTAGATGAAAACAAAATTATTGCTCAGTTTTACACATGGTATTATGTCCAAGTATCAAACTGAATTGACCTGACATCCATTTTTTCTAAATTTTAGATTCTGTACTGTTAACTTTTGTGTCACAAGTAGAATTTGTGGTTTGTATATTTTCCATGAGTTTCATTCAACCATGAGCTCATTGGGATTAATCAATTTTAGTTAATTAAGCTTCAGTTGATTTACACATGTAACAGTAATTTCATAATTTGTTTCGCTGAGACATTTTAGGTAATTTAGATCAAGTATTGCGGAAATTTTTTAAAATGTTCTGGTGGTTCTTTTATCAGCATAAAAGGATGAAAAAAAAAAAAGTTCTTTCATGCACATACTATTAAAAAATTCTTTGTATAAGCTGTAGCGGCTTGTTGCTTCAATAAAGGTAAATTTCATACCTTTTTCTCTTTTTGGAATGGATGACTCCTCATTTGTTTTAAATTGCAAATTATAATTAGGAAAGTAATATTCACGAAGAAAGAAAAGGCTAAATTCGCAGGGCGCAGTGCCAACTTAAATAGAGAAATTTCACGTAACTTTAGTTGGCTTCATTTTTCTCGTACATTAGCAACTTCGCAAAACATTTTGATCATGGTCGAGAATTTATTGTAGCAAAGGTGACGATGGTTACGGAAAGGAAACAGGAACTTAAATAACTGGTATGAAACGAAATAAACACTATATTATGCATTTTTAAATGAAATTTACATATAAATTTCAATCACATCATGGAAACGTGTTTTGTCCCTTTATTTGGACAAAAATTATCATGTATGTACACATTTCTTTGCACACGTGCAGTTTTTTTTTTCACTAAGTAGATTTTAAAAGGGGCCGTTCAGGATTGTAATTGTTTGCCGGATGTTAAGCAACGAAAGGAACTTTATCTAATTTCGGGAAACTACTTTAAATCGTATTCCAGAAAAACTCCAGATAATTCTAATTTCTGTTTTGAAAGAGGATTAATTAGCAGGATTTTTGCAGAAATTATAACGGAAAGTATATAAGTACGAGATTAGTCTAACAGATGTGATAAAAATTATAAAACGATAGGGAACAAAATTTCAAAATTTTCGGATTTATTCGATATGCACGATAAATTCTTGTATTTTGTAAATCTTAGAATACAATAATCAAAATCTCTAAAATTCGAAAACGCTTTGCAGGAAGCAAAGTTGCTGTCCTGATCATAATGTATAGAGGTATACGGATGAATAATTTTATGCCAACAACTTTTAAATAATGAAAACGCAGGACAATATAACATGCTTTGGTATGATTTTAGAGCTGCGTATATATTGGGAAAATATTGATAAATTGATTTCTTTAAAACTTGCATGTTACGACATCTATTATGTTGCAGCCCACTGAGAGCAGACGCTATACCTTCCTTCTATGTTTTGACTTCTCTGTGTGTATATGCGTATATTTGGAATAAACGTATTGTCTGTAAAGCTCTTTTAATTTTTTTCTAAGTTAGATTTCCGTTCTCTTGTACAAAGAGGTGAATATACTTTCTGGTGTCAGGTGTGGTGTGAGATGAGATATGGCAATTATATCAGTATTGTCAAATTTTGTGTAAAAATTTGTGTTGTAATGTGGGAGACGGGTCTGCCCGGAAACGAAAGCGGAAATTATGATAATTCAATTTTTTGGATTATGGTGAGTAAGAATTTTTTTAAAATAAGGTTTAGTGTTAAATCCTGTTGATTAGCGTTAGTTCGTGCTGAATTTGATGGGAATTTTTTTTTTACTCATTGTATTCTATTTGACAGTTCAGTGTTGTTATTTTTATTTATTTATTTATTTCAATTAAGGTGAGGCTTAAGTCGCTTAAGTCATTAAAAAAAGATGAGCTGGCGATCATGGCGGAGGAGTTAGGATTAATAATTCTGATTGGAGTGAAAGTAGTTACTTTGAAAATTTCAATAGAAAGTTCAGAAGTTTATGTAAGTGATGCTGAATTCATAAAAAGTGTTCTTGATAATATTCTAGAGGAAAAGAAAATGCAATCTGAATGGCAAAAAACTCAGAAAAGAAAATTAAATTACAGTTAGAGAAAATAAAACTGTCTCAGCCAGAGGCGGAACCAGCAATAGCTAACACTAAAAACCACTTACCACACAATCACATGCTGAGACGTATCCCTCAAATCGAAGTAATGAAAATTTAATTAAAAGTGAAAAAATAGTATTTCGGTACCTACTAAAGCAGTATAATCACTTTGCCAATAAATTGAAAGAGCTTCTAGGACAAAAAAAGTATTCGAAAATTTAAAAGCAGAAATCCTATTGCATAGTTTGGAGAAAAGGTCACTAATTTATCATTAATATATATTGTACCTGAAGGTACAAGTATATGTGAAGGAAGAAGATATTAATGAATACTATAAATTAAAGTCTATGATTTTAACTAAATTTCAGCCAACCCTTCAAGAATGCTTAAATTATTTTCGTTCCACACAAAAATTCCATCTGAGAAATTCGTACAATTCGCGTCAATGTTAATTTTAAATTTTGAATAACATTGTTATTTGAGAAAGGTATTTAATTCCTTTTCCCAATTGACAATAATATTCACTTCGGGTGTAGTATAAAAAAGTGTACAGTAGAAATTGTTTCTGAGAGAAAGCTTATCATCATTATGATTCATTTTCCTAAAGAAAAGAAAATTCTTTCTTAAAAAAATGTTTCTAACGAAAAAAAAAATAGATAATGCTGATGCCACGCAAATGAGAGTCAAGGCTCAATAAGTCATCTGTGCTATTACTCATTTACAGTGCATAAACTAGCTGTATTAATAAAACAAAATTCAATAAAATAGCGCTCATTTTATGCGAAAATGGCTCAGATAAAAGTTGGTTTACAAATTCCCTTGCAAATGGCTTAAAACGAAAATCAATTAGAAAGAAGAAGGTTTTCTGTTTTCCTTTTTGACTCAGCAAAGCCTTTTGAGAAATTATATGAAATTGTAGACTTCAGGTCTAATGTTAAAAGTGCAGTGTCAGCGAATTTTTGTATAGCTTCTTCAAGTGTTCAATTACTGTGATAGATAATGCTTTAGAAACTAAAGAAAAGGGAGAGTTAAACGTAGTTGATAAAGCGTTGATATCTGAATTGGAGGAAAATTTTTAATTCATGATTGAGAGATATGAAACGGATTTATTATGAAACTTTAAAGTTATTAGGTTATTGTGAAGCAAGAGATGTGAAAAACGTGCAATGCCCTCGCCGGGTCTCGAGCCTGGACCTCTCAAATAGGCGCAGAGTGTGCTACCGTTACACCCCGAAGGCATTCTGGGAGGAGGTAGAAAATACCTTATATATTCCCCCTTCTAAAGGGCGACTGGGGATTAGGGTAACCGATCGCCAAATATTGGTAGTGACGAATGATTGTCCACCACCTTTTTTTAGTTCGGGCCGCCATTTGTAGAGTCCCCCCTCCCCCTTTTCTTTTTCTTTTTTTTTTTTTTTTTTTTTTTGAAGCTGGAGAAGTGAAAAAGGTGCATTGCCTCGCCGGGACTCGAACCTGGACCTCTCGAATACGTGCCGAGTGTGTTGCCAGGAGGGAGAAAATACCTTATAACTTTAATTACGATAAATTAGATAAACGTTATGCTTTAGCTAAAAAGCTGTTGGATAAGTCAGGAAAGGGTTTAGTAGTGTGAGTCATTTAAATTGTCGTCGGACGCTGTATCAATACAAGTAAGCAAATGGCGGGCTTAGGAAACTGAAATTGAACAATAGA